GTTGGCGTGAGTGAGGCCAGATCAGTTGGGTTCTGTCAGCTGTCATAGGAGAATACATTTTTTTCAGAATGCAGTAGGATACCACTGAAGGGATTTTTTTCAAGTGAAATGATCAAATTTAAATAATAATTTTTGCTGCTTTCAATAAAAAATATTAGAGAAGAGACAATGAGATTGGCAATAAGAACATTTTAATCCATGTCCTGCCATCAAGATCACAGGAAAAGTGTATTGGACATATTTGGAAATTATTTCCAGATCAACCACATCTCATTACTTCCACTACTAACACCAATCCAAGATACCATAACCTCTTACCTGACAATCTCTTTCCTTCTCAACTGACTGCATGCCCACAGAGTTAACCTGCTTAATTTAGAACATGTCATTCCTTTGCAACAATGATCAGTAAAAAGCAAAACTCTTTATAGTTGTGTGAGGCCCTCTGCCCGTTGCCTTATTGCCACCTAACTTCATCTATTATATTCCACATTCTTTCCACTCACATGGAACTCCTTGCAAAATTCAGGAAAGTTCCTTTAGGGGCTGTTGACATGCCCACTACAGTGATCTTCCACCAGAGAGCCACAAGACTTCTCCCTAATTTTAACGATGAATTTTAACTCAAATCTCATCTTATCAAAGTGAGATAAGAAAATTTTGTCTGTTTTGCTCCCAAACTAGCAACTGCTATAAAATAGTCAAATATTTGATGAAATGTATCCTACTAACAGATCAAATGAGATAATCCTTTATCTCAGTAGATACCCAAATGATTTATTTTAATGAAATCCATCACAAAATTCCACAAATAAAACTCCAGTAGGTGTTATCTATTATTATTTAAGGATGCATGCAGTCACTGCTGTTAGTTAATAGTGCTGTTTGCCACAAATCAGGCCTTTTTTGTCACACAGTGTTATGCTGTTTTTTTTCAGAACCTCTAAATAGAAAGCTTGATTAACACTCTGACCTGGTGGAACGAACTCCAAACGCACTGTCCCCCTGACATCAAAAGACAAATATGAACATCATTTTTTGAGGGATATTTCCTCATATGTGTGCAAAAACAAAAGCTTACTCAAAGAATTAGTACAACATATTGTCTATAATGGTGTATTATATGAAGGACTAATGGTGTATGGCATGAAAAACAGGTTGGGGTCATTATTTTATAAAGATAATTTTTGCAACAAAAGTAGACAATTCTCATTAGAAAATGGTGGGAGAAAATTTGCCAAGAATCTCACACGATGTGTATATTTTATTCTAGTAGAATAAGATATACAGTGTCATACAATAAACTACCACAGAAATATGTGAGATCCTTGGTAAATTTCCTCCCATCGTTTTCTAATGAGATGTCTCTACTTTGTTGCAGAAGTTATCATTATAAAATAATGACTCTATAGTTAGTCTTGATGGTTTAGTGGTTACGAGTCAGGCTACAATATGCAAGGTCAGCAGTTTGGCGCCATCAGCAGCTCCTCAGAAGAAAGATGGGGCTTGGCTTTCTACTCCTGTACAGAGGTACAGTCTCGAAAACTGACAGGGACAGTCCTACCCTGTCCTACAGAGTCTCTTACTGTGAGTTAGCATTGATTTGATGGCAGTGAAGCCTCTCTTTCAAGATGTCTATATGGCAGTCTTAGAAGATTTAGTCTCCCCTTAAGGCAATGGTTGGCAAGCTCCTTAAAATTCCTTTAAAAGATTGAGGTCTCTAAAATTCCAGAATTTTCCAAATGAGAGTTGTTATATTACTCTGGTGGCAGAGCATCTAGCTGGGTCAACCTCATCATAACCCCATGAACCTTGGTTAGACAAGTTGAATCAATGTGAATATGGAGTTCATGCTACCTGCAGTGTTTTGCATAATAAGCCCCTTTGAGCTGACCCAGTAGGATCTTGTTTTCTGTAAGCATCTTTGAAATCAAAGCAGACTATTGGTTAATTTGCAAGTAGAGTAACATCTAAGACCTACATAGTTATTGACAAAAGGTAGAGAAGGACAAAAGTAGAGAAGACAGGACAAAGGAAGACCAATTGAGAGATTGCAATGTGACAGAAAAGAGACAAGGATCTTGATGTCAGGAATCTTAAGAAAGCAGGAGACAGATGGAAGAGAATTTTTGGAGGCAAAATTGACAACACCTAGGACTGAGTAATTATGTGAACATAAAGGAAAATGTAAACTCATTATGTTTATAAAGTTCATTATGATATAATGGGATGACTCGTGAATGTTATATCACTAATGGAGAAAGATAACACGAGAACAGGAGCAGCAAATAGGTGTGGGTATCTAAAGAAAGGTAAGTTGCTAACGTAAAGAGTTATGAGGATATTCATTTAGCGAGATCTACTGGAGTAGTCGAGAGCCTTGGTAGCAATATGAGTTAGTCAGAGGGCTGTGAACTGTAAGGTTTGCAGCATAAACCCACTAGTTGCTCTGAGGGGAAAAGATAAGACTGACTACTCCCATAAAGATTTATAGTCTCAGGAAACTCACATGGGGTTGCTATGACTCAGAATTGACTCAATATCAGTGGGTAACTGGAATACTGGTAATACAGATTTGTAGCTCCGGGTGATTGTCAGGAACAAGGAAAAGGTCATTTAAAAGTCATTCTAGTTTGGGCCAGTGCAGAGAAGTGAAATTACTTGGTATGATTCTAATATCCACAGTTTTTATAATTCCCAAATCACTAGGTGGGAGCAAGCAAATTAGATGCAGAGGACCCTAATTCTGGTCTTGGGCCACTGGGTATAAAGTGAGCCATCTCAGAAGCAGGAACAGAGACTATTTGAACTCTCTGTGCACAGAGGTAGAAGCAGCAGTGGTTCCATGAGACAGAGGGGTAGGCTTCCCACCCCCCTGAACAGGTGAAACGGAGTGGCTGCAGGCAGAGTAAAGTTCCCCTTAGGCGTTTATCACCAAAAAGGAACTTTGTACACTAGCCAGAGCGGCACAGAAGCCAAGGGGCCACGTAGCTGAGAGGCCCAGGACCAGAGAGTCATACTTGGCATGGCCAAGAAGGGGTTCTCTAGACAAAAGAACTGGATCCTTAATATTTTCTGATCCTAACTTGTAAACTGTCAACTTCCCTAATAACTCCCCAAACCATGAGTATTGTCTGTGAGTTCTTTTGTAAAGGACTAGCGGGAAGTAGAGAGCCAAGGAAGGAACAGTGGATGGCAGCGTGAAGAAGGATAGAGGCATCTGACCTCGGCCTGGCAAGAATCAACCTTGGACAAACAGGGAGTTGTTGTCTCCTCCCCTTTTGTATATACAAGGGAGGTCAGACATGGCCCTCACAGTTTGCCAGCCAACACTTCTCAAGGTGGAATCCACAGACCCCAGGAAGAGCCTGAGAACTAATCAGGTGGTCTCCAAAGAAAAAAATCAGTTTTAACTATAATATTGCTCTATTCCTGGACTCATATTAAAATGATACTAAAATATTTTTATAAAGCAGCAAAATTTATTAGCTTTGAGTAAATGCTAACCATTTAACATTTTGGTGTGAGGAAATGATGAATACAAATTAAGTACAAGGTTTTCTTGAGGAAAAGCAATGCTGCAAATAGATTTCTGTATGAACTAGATATTTCTTCTATGGAAGACATATTTTAAATAATGATTGACAGAGAAATGACACTTATTAAAAGCTTGATTATTTGGCAGACATTACCTTGAAAATTAAAAAGTAAGCCCATCACTTACGGGGTAAAAAGCCTGTCGGGATCTATTGCTAATAATAAAATTTGTTCATTCAACTGAAAATTATAATTCTATAAAATTCATATTAACCATGATGACATCAGTAGTAGTTAAAAAACGATTTTACTAAGATTGATGGTGATATTAACAAATAAGATACTGTACCACATTTGAAAGATACATGTAATTTAATGAACCAGTTCATTCTAATTGACCAATGTATCAGATTATAAAATGACATACAGGTTAAAAAAAAACATTCAAAGAGTTAAAGAGATCAGTGGATATTTTTTCTCTTTTAACAACAAAAACTTCATTGATTCATGATTCATAATAATATGCACCTATTTAAAATGCCCTGCCCCTTGAAGCAAAGAGTGTGGGAAGGAAAGAAAGAGAGCCACAAATATGGAGGATATTATTGACTTCATTTCTTTTTTTAAATTAAATACTTTTATTGGGGGCTCATATATCTCTTACCACAATCCATACAATCATCTATTGTGTCAAGCACATTTGTACCTATGCTGCCATCATCATTTTCAAAGCATGTTCTTTCGGCTTGAGCCCTTGATATTAGTTCCTCATTTCACCCCATCCCTCCCAGGACCACCCTCCCTCAGGAACCCTTAATAAGTTATAGATTATTATTTTCATATCTTACATCGTCCTCTGTCACCCCTCACCCACTTTTCTGTTGTTCGTCCCTCTGGGAGGGGTTTATATGTTGATCCTTGTGATCGATTTCCCCCCACCCACCCCCATGTCATTTCTTAAGCTAGTCTCTGTGAATATATACAGGATGTTTCTTTAAAAACAAACAACAAATTCATCCAGATTCCTTTCCCCTCAAACCTAAATAGTGGTCTGAATGGCTTTTTTTTTTTTTTAAAGAGGAGGAAATGTAAAAGTAAAATGGATTTTTTTGAAATAGAACTTTTGTAGCACCCCAAAAGGAAATTTTATACTATTTGCATTAACTCTCCATTTGCCCGGATCCCCCTTCATCCTTTTTCAAGGCAACCACTAATCTACTTGCCATCTCTACAGATAAGGCTATTCGGAACATGTCATATTACAAGGTCATTAAGTGTGTTGTCTTTTACGCCTAGATTCCATAACTTAGAATATCATACATAGTTGTGCAGAACTAGATTTCCATTCAGAACAGCCATTGCTCTTCAGAAAGCATGCATTTTATGTCACCATCCATGAGAGAACACTGGACTGTGTAAAGTAGTTTTTCAACTCACTAAGTTGTTTATGTTTCTGTTTTCAGTGGATGATTCAGCAGCCCCACAAAGCAGCAACGTTTTTTGGATGCATTGGTGTAGATAAGTTTGGGGAGATCCTGAAAAAAAAAGCTGCTGAAGCCCATGTGGATGCTCATTACTATGAGCAGAATGAACAACCAACGGGGACTTGTGCTGCTTGCATCACTGGTGACAACAGGTCAGTGTATTTCTGAGGAAGCTTTACATTGTTGTTGTTGTTGTTGTTGGATGTCATTGAGTATGTTCTAACTCATACCAACTCCACATACAAAGTAAACAAAACACTGCCACTCCCGTGCCATCCTCACAATTGTGGATTTGTTTGAGTCCCTTATTGTGGTCACTGTGTCGCATTAGTCCGTCGCTTTGGGAATCTTCGTCTTTTCCACTAGCCCTCTACTTTCCCAAGCCTTTTCCACGGACTGGTTTCTGCTATAATATGTTCAAAGCATGCGAAACGAAATCTCACCATCCTCTCTTCTAAAGATCATTGACAACTCAATATTTATAAACATAACATATATGAGCAATTGTTTTATCAACAATGTTAAAATCTGAATTTCAATCTGAATTTAAAATTTGGGTCTCACATTTATAATTGGATTTAATGTTTGCTCAAGCCCTATTCCCTTTTTCATTTTATTTTAATTTTCTTTGTAAAATCTCCCTCATTGAAACAGCTATTATCTTCATGCTACATAATAGAATTTTAGGCATAAAATGGGAGTTTAAGATTATCTCATCCAGTCCCATTTTTCATAATTGGGTTCAGGAATTTTCATTTATATATTTTTTTAATTTATATCTTCTAGCTAGACTGTTAATGAATGTTTTTTATCTCCATCTCCTGAGATTGGAACAGTATGGGTAGGTACATATACATGGGTCACCATGAATCAGAGCCAACTTACTGGCAACCGACAACACCAATTATATTAATGTAATACTACATATGTATATTATACTACATTACTTGCAGTCTCTGATAAATTAGTTCTTCTAAAGAGCTCTTCATTTCTAGGAAATGTCCATGTTAAAAAAAATTCCAGTGGTAGGTAATGCACCACTAAATAAACTATTACATTCTATACAACTTTTTAACTTGTTAGAAAGTTCTTCCTTATATGTACTGGAAATTTCTATCTCAGGCTTCCCATGCATTGGCTCTATGTGTATTTATACATTTTTGCAGCTGCATAGGGGCATTCCATGACAATCCTGTGTTGCTACCATCATTACGGCTACTTTGTTTCTCAGCATAGTTTTATCTCCTTTTTCAAGGAGAAAACAGTATCTTTTGTCTTATATTGTTAGACTCATTAAAAATTCTGCCTTTATATAGAGTGATTCACTAGAAAATTTGCATTTTTTGCAGGTAAGATATTTTTAAATTTTTAAATTTTTAAATTCCCTGTTACCTTTCCTTTTTCTACTTTCTCCCCTTTTTAGTTCCTTTGCTCCATTCTTTTACTTACCCCTTTTATTTTCTCTCACTCAGTGCTCTTTGGTAAATTGAGTTTATGGAGCAAAGTGGGAGAAAGACAAGCTTTCTACGCCTGTAAAGAGTTACAGGCTCAGAAACCCACAGGGGCACTTCTTCCAGGCCCTTGGGGTCGCTATGAGTCGACTGTGTGGCGAAGGACAGAGGCCCTCAGCACATGGCTTGGAGGCTAGGCCTGTGGGACTTCTGTCACCATCTCCTCAGACCCAAGGAAATGATGAGGAAGGTGCATGCCTTCCAAAACCCTGGTCTTTCTGAGGAACCATAATGGTGCCATTTGGAAGCCTGGGCCCTAACACCCAATACATATATGCATACATGCACAATCTCTCTGAGGATGGTGAATGAACACTGCTAGTGTGCACAGCAGGTTTTTGTAGCACCTTTGTTCAAGAACTGAATGGGGTTTTAGACTCTGGGAAGCTTCTGAGGGAGGGGCAAAAATTGAGCCGGGACTGCTCCTGACCTCTGTCCTGGACCTAATACAATTCTAGATACTTGTGGATCATTATGAATACTGAAAAATCAAACTGACTACCATCGAGTAAATACCAACCCATAGTGACACACTATAGAGCAGGGTAGAACGGACTCTGAAGTCTCTGAGACTATAACTCTTTACGGGAGTAGAAAGGCCCATCATTCTCCCACACAGTGGCTAGTGGTCTCAAACTGTTGACCTTGTGAATCGCAGCCCAACATTTAATTACTACACTACAAAGGTTCTTTAGTATGGATAGTTATCATTCAATAATTAAAATACAATTTTCAAAAAATAGTTAAGAGTACCAGTTGTTGGATTGTTGTATATATTCAGTTCTAGAGTAAAATCATCACAAAGTTGCCATAGTGAGAAAAAACAAAATTTTATTCAGCATCTGCTGTAAGAAGGGAAGACAAGTGGGTAAAAGGTTGACAAACCATCAAAGCTATCTGAAGGAGATCCAAGTGCAATACAGAGTTGATGGTAGTTTGATCATTTCAACAGACTAAATATAAACAGCTAAATTTAACAGCTAAATATAAACCGTGACTTTGGCAATGATCTTTGTTAAAGCTTTTGTATTAAAGGCAGTTAGGAGGGGGTTTTTTCATGCTAGAACTAGGGAGGACAAAGGAGATAGCTATCTATTCACATGCCTTAATCTTAAACTGGACCATTCTTTCTTCTTTTTTATATATTTTTAATTTTTCTCCATCGTCTTTATTCAATATCCAACTTTCGCAAACATATGAGGCAATTTTTCGTTATTTTTTTACCAGTATCAGAGCTTAAATTTTATTTTATTTTTAAAAAATAATTTTATTGGGAGCTCTTACAGATATTATAGCAATCCATAATTCAATTAGACTAAGCATAATTGTACAAGTGCCGCCACCATCAGTTTCAAAACATTTTCTTCTTGAGTTCTTTGATATCGGCTTCCCTTTATCCCTTCCTCACCCACCCTCCTCCCCAGGAACCCTTATTATATATAATTATTATTGTTATTAATAACATATATTTTTGCCATATCTTACACCATCCAATGTAACTGTTCACCTACAATTTTTCTGTTATTTCCATTTGAGTGGGGTTATGCAGTCATTGCCATCAGCTCTCCCTTCTCCCCCTTCCCTTGTTGCCCCCTGCCCCCTCTGCCTATACTCTTAGCTACTCTAGTACTCATGTATCTTTCCTGTAAGAAAACTGGGGCCCTGCCTTACCAGACCATCAGGGAAACTGATCAGGGGAGGTCACCTTGACTATTGAGCGATCTAAAAGTAACTGTGGCTTTCCAAAACAATCTCACTGCCATCAACTCATAAGGACCCTGTAGGACAGTGCCCCTGTAAGTTTCTGAGACTAGTCCTTGCTGGAGTGAAAAGTCTCATCTTTCTGCTGACCTTGCAGTTAGGAGCCCAACTCATAACCAGTGAGCCACCAGGGCACGAGGACCATTTTAATGCTTATGATGAAACCAGAACTCTGGCTGGAGTGTGCCTTTGGTTGTAGGCACTAAAGCATTTCTCAGCAACAAAAATAAAATAAATGGCACTTTAAAAATAGCTGCCTTTGATTTCGTGTAAATAATAACTTGAATGAAGCTAATAAAAAAAATCCCCAGCAACAAAGACATTAGGACACCCAAGCTATTTTCAGATCTTTTACTGTGACTGCTCTGTGTCTGCAGAAGAACTTTGAAGATGTCAATAAGAAAAACTACTGGTTATCCACCCATCGGTTCATGTTTGGAATGTAAAATTGTAGATGCATTGAAATATATTTCGTAGACTTCTGCCTTTTTCAAATTTTCTAAAACCAGCTTTGGTGTGCAAGTGCGAAATTTTCTCATTAGTAAAGAATGGGTCAAGTTGTGTCTGAGACACTACTCAGGCAGGCTGAAGTGCAATTGCTAAATTGTTTTTGTATGTTAACTTGTTATTTTAAAAAGCAGTTATGATAATATTAGGTCTCTCCATGTCAAAAGCTTAATTAATATGCTAATATTATAGTCATGGTGATGATTATTCAGATGACATAGAAAGTCAGAAAGGCAAGGGTGGGGTGCCTTACACTTAACATCATCCAAATTTGGGGGCTTAATAAATTTGGATAAAGTTTGAGATAGTACTAGTAACTCTTGCTATTATTATACAAAACTTAACTCAGTAATAAAAGACTTTGAAAATTACAGTCTTATTTCAAATTTATATAACCAGGATCCTTGTATGTTTCTTTTGGAGAACATATGGGGTTTCCTGCCAAAGAATGGTTTTATTACCAAAAAGGATTAATAATAGTAATAATATTTAGAAACTGGTCCTAGTCCTAGAAAAGTTTGCTTTTATTTAGCAACCATATTTGTCAAAAATTATCTAAAGTCTTGATTATATAAATAATAAAGTTAAGACTAATTTTTTTAAGTTCATAGAAATTAATTATCTGATATTGATAGATGTTATTTTCATTCACCTACTTTAACATAAATCTATTTTAAGTATAGTATATAGACATATTAGTGAGTATGTATCACCTACATCTCAAGTTATGAAACATTTTTCAAAGCCATAATTCTCTCCTATTTAATTAGAAAAAGACATATTGGTCAAGCTATCTTATAAAATTTGGGAGTTATCAACTATAGAAAGTAATGTCAATTAGTTCCAATCCTTAAAAGATAATAGCTTACAAATTAACTACCGAGAATAAGTATGGTCTACAATTTTATTTTCCGCTTCTGAAATTAATCTCATATTTAGCTTTTAAATTAGTATTCATTTTGGTACTTATTTTTATTTACTTATTTTTAAAAACATAGTAAAAACCCATTGGCATCTAGTGGATTCCGACGCACAGTGAGCCTGTGGGCATAGTCAAACTGCCCCTGCGGGTGTGTGAGACTGCAACTCCTGACTGGAGCAGAGAGCCTCATCTTTCTCGAGGAGCACTGGCTGGTGATTTCCTCACTCCTGAGCGGGCGGGTAGCAGTTCAGCTTGTAACACACTATGCCACCAGGGCTCCTTTTAATGACATTGTGGCTTTTATGTATTTTGAACTATTAAAGTGTGCAAAGGAGATTATATTATCGATTTAGTATCAAAAGCATAATTAAATGCCAGTTTCTCAAAATACCTGATGGTGCTTAACAGAGTCCTAGCGTTAATATAACATGTGTGTTTAGAAGTCTGAAAAAGTTTTCAAAAGGAAAGTAATTTTATTTCTATTTAAAAACCATATATAGTACATTTCAAGAAAAAATTAAAATTGTAAAGCAAAATATTTGCCAACAATTTTGGGAATTAACCGGGTATAAAAGTAAGGCAGATGTGGCTGTAGGATACGTAAACTGTTCCTTCTTTTTCTTGGGTTATTTTAGGTCCCTTGTCGCTAACCTTGCTGCTGCCAATTGTTATAAGAAGGATAAACATCTAGATCTGGAGAAAAACTGGATGTTGGTAGAAAAGGCGAGAGTTTTTTATATAGCAGTAAGTATTTACCTAATGCAAAATTCTAGCACATGGTTATGGCTATATAATTTTCTGTGACATACATGTCCCTTTTCTGAAAATTTATGAACCACTTCAAGTATATGTTTAGGCTTACTAAACTGAACAGAAATATGGCCATTTCATGGTAGCATGATTCTTATTATTTGCTTCAGTCCTTTGCCTTTTGGGATATTTTATAGACGTGCTTATAAACTAAATTCAAAATTCTCTAATTAGTTTTTAAATTAGTACTTAACTAAGTTAAACACTTTGTATTTAACTAAGTAACTGAAGCAATTCTGTAAATTTACGTTTTATAATTCTAGACAATTTGCTGTGAATGATACATGTATTGTTTGGAAAAATATTATTAGCATAAATACTCACTGCAAACAATTTGAACTTATTTGCCTAGAAAAATTAATTGCTATTCAGTCCATAGTAATTACCATGACACTTTATGTTTAATATTTCAGAAACATTGATCTTGACAAACCTTTTAAATCTAGTAGTATGTAATTTGAATTATGCAATCTCCTGACATAAGAATAATTGGTTAAGAATTCATTTCTAAGGAAAGATTGTACTAAAAATTCCTTCTGAATTAATCACCACGATTACTTAGTTTTTATTTAAGGTGAATTAAATATGAGTGATCATAAATGAGTAGATACCTTTGAAAAATTGAAAGTATCTCATATGCATGTAATGTATGGTTTTGATATAACAGCTGCTGCCATTCTACCTGAGCTATATAAAACAGCTGGTAAACAATATAAAAAATGGATTATCCAGTAAAGCATGTTTATTGAAAATATAATTATTACTTTTAGTCTAGTGGTAATGTCTCCTAAAACATATTT